AGCCTAATCATTTGTAGATAGGGAGTGGACTTATGATCAAAAGTCATACTCGGTACCCACATTCCAAGTGTTTCTTGCTTGTGAGATGATGAAGTCTTAACAAAATGGAAAAATACTTGTTTCAGTGCTATGCACAAAAATACTTTAGGACTCCTTTTATAAGAATTAAAACCTAACTCAACTTATACACTATTTCCAAATCCTAAAAGCAGCTGATCTGTTTCTTACCTAAAATTTTGACAGTAAGTAGGATGAAAGTTCGGCTGCCTGAAATATTAAAGAACAATAACAATCAAATTAGGAAAGAACAATTCCATTGCACAGAATAAACTAAGAAAAACAACTGTACTACCCAGAAAGAAATTGTCATGATAACAGAATGAAAACAGTTCCTTTGGTGCTGCTAATACCAGGAAGGAGTAAAAAGATTCTAACTTGAAATCACTATGTAAATAAAAAAGTCTATCAGTTTTGTTCATTCCATTCATTGTAGTTTTCCATGACATTAACAGTTCTCTGTTACTGTCTTTCCCTGTAACAGTTCTTTCCCTGACAGTAGCAGTGTAATTTTTGCATTTTTAGGTTTTCATTTTTTTAAGTACAGAACTTGCTGTGACAAAATGATGAGGCTGCAATACAAATGTGCATATGAAAACTGGTCATAACTGAAAAGTCCTCCTCAGTCTACCCGAGAGGCAGGTGGCTCAAGTAATGGCTTTAGTATTCAGTTGGATTTGTTGGGTTGAATTCTGTGAAGTGAAAACTCACAAGAGTGGAAGGTCTTCAGGCTCACATTGGGGCTTAATGAAATGATTTAGAAATGATTCCAGCACCATGTAGCTGTCTTGTTTGTTTAAAAAAAGGGTTTTCCAATGCTGTTATGGTAAATTCTTGATGATGATGTTGATGATTAAGAGCTCATATATATTGATGGGTTACTGTGTATCAGCCACTGTTCTAAATGTTCCTCAAAAATGATCAAATTTAAACAGTTCTTAAATATGCAGATTTTTATCTTTTAGATAAATGTTCCCTAGTGAAGTTTTCCTGCTTCTCAAAGTCAAGTGACAAATTGATGAAATAGGTGAATTAGGGGTGACACACACCCTCCCCTCTATTACTTCTCTGCAGTTCTGAGGTTTTAGGATAAAGAAATGAGGAAACGTGATTGAGATAATCCTGAACCATTTGGGAGGAAATGGAAAGAAAAGATAAAAACTCTTTGAATACGCTTTTCTTCCTAGTACTAATTCAGCTAGTTTTTAGGTGCCCTAAGTCATGGGATGACGAAGAGTCAGACATGACTTAGCAATTAAACAAGTAAATATATTAATAAATAGTAGGAAACTACTAGTGATTGTGCCTGTGGCAACCTACTCCAGGATTCTTGCCTGAAAAATCCCATTGACAGGGTAACCTGGCGGGCTACAGTCCATGGGGTCGCAAAGTTGGAAATGACTGAGCGACTAAGCACAGCACAGTACTAGTAATAGTGCCTAGCTTTTTACTAAATATCTGTCATGTGTCAGGCACTGTGCTGATGAATTACATGTGTTAGATCTACATTCCCCCTTGAAAGGATTTCATGCTTTGCAAAATAGATCGTCATCAGATTACTTGAATATTAACATTCCAGTGTACATTTATAGTATTCTGCTAACTGCAATGAGAAATTATTTCATCACTATTTGGAATAATAATTCTTGTATAAAACAGTTCTACTCGTAAGAACAAACCACTCTGGACAGACAGCAGACTTTCCTTCAAGCTTTCCTGATCAACCCTCATCTCCAGTCTTTGCCTTTTCCTAGGTTGTCCCTGGCACAGAATTTTGCATCTAATTATATGATGCCTCACATTCCCTGTTATTCTGGTTAAAGTTTTCTTTTTGTCTAAATATACTCTAAATTCAAGAGTATTATCCATTTCTTTTATGTTTCTGGAAACCTGAACATAATAATAGCTACAAATTAGGTACTTAATAAATGATTCTGAAATAAATGAGTTAATGAATTAATAAACAGACTTTAAATTGCCATTCTTCACTTAATGGACAGATTCTAAGGAGCTCTGTATGATAAATCTACATTATAAAGTCAAAAATTTTCAGAAAACAGTGTTGCCATTTTTTTTTAATTTGCAAAAGTAGTTCTCAAACTTTTTAGACTCAGCATTCCTTTATACTTAAAAATAATTGAGGGAGCTTTCCACTAACTAAAATTCTATGCTCCCAATCCAGATGGCCCGGGTTCCATCCCTTGTCAGGGAACTAGATCCCACATGCCACAACTAAGGCCCAGTGCAGCCAAATTAAATAAATAAAAAATGATTGAGTACCTCAGTGAGTGAGCTTTGGTTGTTGTAGGTTATATCTAGTGATACTTACCATTCAGTTCAGTTCAGTCGCTCAGTTATGTCCTACTCTTTGTGGCCCATGGACTTGCAGCACGCCAGGCCTCCCTGTCCATCAGCAACTCCTGGAGTTTACTCAAACTCATGTCCATTGAGTTGGTGATGCCATCCAACCATCTCATCCTCTGTCATCCCCTTCTTCTCTCGCCTTCAATCTTTCCCAGCATCAGGAAACCTGAACACAATACTAGTGACAAATTAGGTACTTAATAAATGATTCTGAATAAATGAGTTAATGAATAAATAATCAGACTTTAGATTACTATTACTCATTAAAACCGAGATATGTCTACTTAAAGAAAAATGCTCAATATGATAGCTGTAAGTTTAAGTTTTATTTGGGGTCTTAATTCCTTAATAGCTCAGTTGTTAAAGAATCCAACTCCAATGCAGGAGACCCCAGTTTGATTCCTGGGTCAGGAAGATCGCTGGAGAAGGATAAGGCTACCCACTCCAGTATTCCGGCCTGGAGAATTCCATGGACTGGACACGACTGGGCAACTTTCACTTTCACTTTCTTTCAATGAGAATTTCAGCACAGGAGAGAGTCTCTCAGGAGCTCTGAGAAAACTGCTCCAAAGGGTAGGGAAGAAGCCTGTATATATATGTGTGTGTGTGTGTGTGTGTGTATGAATTTGGGCTAGGGAACATGTGGAGTCAAGCAGACATCTTGGTAGTCACAAATAACCAATATCTAAAGTTAATGATTTTAGTGCTTTTCTTTAGGAAGATGCAAGAATCTGGTCATTGAAGTTCTTCCCAAGATATACATCTAACTATCCAAGAGGCCTGCTCGTCCACAGCACAGAGCACCCTGTTATGGTCTTGATTTCTTCTATCTGAACCACAGAGTGCTTCATCCTATTATGGTCTTGGTTTTCTCTGAGAGTGCACTGTTAGTCAGTGACTACAGTGGGTAACCACTTAATCCTTGTAGAACTGGTTGGTGAGCAGTTCTCTTTGTTTTTCTTTGTTTACAGACATTTAAAAATATAAGAATATAAACACATATACTCTACTGGCTATCACAGCAGTGACATCAACACATGTCATGTAGCCCCTTGAAAACTCCACTGTACTCTTGTGAGAGAATAAGCGTGAGAAGGACAAACACTGTCGTAGTATTATTATGAAAACAGTTTAGACCTCACAGCTCCCTGAAAAGGTCTTGGAGAATTGATAAAGTATTCCTCTGGATCACTGCATCAGACTATAGAAAGAGTAGTCTTTAATCTTAAGATTAAATTTGTGTTTTTTTACTTTTAAATTTAATCATGAATATTGCTAAGTGTTATAGATGGTTCAGAGGAACCAGAGATCAAATTGCCAATATCCGCTGGATCATCGAAAAAGCAAGAGAGTTCCAGAAAAACATCTATTTCTGCTTTATTGAATATGCCAAAGCCTTCGACTGTGTGGATCACAATAAACTGTAGAAAATTCTGAAGGAGATGGGAATACCAGACCACCTGACCTGCCTCTTGAGAAACCTGTATGCAGGTCAGGAAACAACAGTTAGAACTGGACATGGAACAACAGACTGGTTCCAAATAGGAAAAGGAGTACGTCAAGGCTGTATATTGTCACCCTGCTTATTTAACTTATATGCAGAGTACATCATGAGAAATGCTTGGCTGGAAGAAGCACAAGCTGGAATCAAGATTGCCGGGAGAAATAGCAATAACCTCAGATATGCAGATGACACCACCCTTATGGCAGAAAGTGAAGAGGAACTAAAAAGCCTCTTGATGAAAGTGAAAGGAGTGAAAAAGTTGGCTTAAAGCTTAACATTCAGAAAACTAAGATCATGGCATCTGGTCCCATCTTCTCATGGGAAATAGATGAGGAGACAGTGGTAACAGTGTCAGACTTTATTTTTTGGGGCTCCAAAATCACTGCAGATGGTGACTGCAGCCATGAAATTAAAAGACACTCCTCAGAAGGAAAGTTATGACCAACCTAGATAGCATATTAAAAAGCAGAGACATTACTTTGTCAACAAAGGTCCATCTGGTCAAGGCTATGGTTTTTCCAGTGGTCATGTATGGATGTGAGAGTTGGACTGTGAAGAAAGCTGAGTGCTGAAAAATTGATGCTTTTGAAGTGTGGTGTTGGAGAAGACTCTTGAGAGTCCCTTGGACTGCAAGGAGATCCAACCAGTCCATCCTAAAGGAGATCAGTCCTGGGTGTTCATTGGAAGGACTGATGCTGAAGCTGAAACTCTAATACTTTGGCCACCTGATGCGAAGAGTTGACTCATTTGAAAAGACCCTGATGCTGGGAGGGATTGGGGGCAGGAGGAGAAGGGGATGACAGAGGATGAGATGGCTGGATGGGCATGAGTTTGAGTAAACTCTGGGAGTTTGTGATGGACAGGGAGGTCTGGCGTGCTGCGGTTCATGGGGTCACAAAGAGTCGGACACAACTGAGCAACTGAACTGAACTGAATTATTTAGCAAGTACATAATTAATTTCTAATTAATTTTAAATAGTAATTTCTTGGTTGAAATGATCTTCATTTGAAGAAGCAACAATATTTGGAAACTGTGTTCTGTATGCATTTAAAGTTGGGTTCTCTTCCGTTGCAGCTCCTCAGTTTGAAACCGCATGTAATTATGTAGAAGCTACACTTGAAGAGTTTCTTTCCTGGAACTGTGACCAGTCTAGTATTTCTGGAGCATTTAGAGACTATGATCATTCCAAATTCTGGGCTTATGCTGACTATAAATATTTTGTCAGTTTATTTGAAGACAAGACAGATATTTTCCAGGTAAGTCCGTACATTTCTTTTAGTCATGGTATAATTTGTTCTTGAGAAAAGATCACAAAGATCACAGATTAGAATCTTCAAGGTACCCTTTTCCTCACTGTCTTTTTCTCTGAAAAGTCACTGTGAGTCTTGCGTGTTCTATCCACTCACACCCAAAGATTCACTCAAAGGAAGTGTAATGTTTGGCCCACCAATGTGAACAGCCTTCTTACTGTTTTCCTAGTTGCCAGACTTCCTGCACAGTCTCTCCTTTGCCTTTTAAACAGCACCTGAATCAATTTGTAGTATATCAGAAACACAGATTATGTATACAACTTCATTTCCACCTTCATCTAAGTTCTTATTCCATCAGGCGGGCAGATGGAGGTACAAAGCTGGTTAGTGACGAAGCATTCAAGCATTCCTAGGATCTTAGAAACCCTCCTGGCTACTGCTACCTGCTCTCATTGCTCCGGGGTAGGGAGGGTGGGGTAGTGTTTAATGCAGGTTTATGGCCTGAGGCAGAAAGTGCTGGGCTCCCAGAGATTGACTGTAGAAGTCCTACAGAAGTGTGCAGGCACTTGCAGGAGTAAGAATGTGGAAGTCCTTTGCTGTGTGTTGACATAACCGAGAGCAGATTGCATACCACAGTATCCTCTTTTCAAAATGCTTTCTACCTCAAACTGCCAGTTCATTTCGTGGGGTACGGCAAACTCCCTGCTGTAGTCTCTGTTTGTCTTAGGCACATGGGCCAGGAATGGGAGTCATCCCAGGAGGCTATTGAATGATTCTGCCTTGCCCACCATCAGGTCGAAGTTCTAGAGTCCTTCATCCTGCCCTTACGGGATGTATTTTGCCATCACAGCAGGCTGTTTATACCTCTGCACCCCCACCCCCTGCTCTTGCCTGTTACCACCACACACCCTCTGGATTCTCCTCTCATATAGGCTGATAGTCTTTGGACTCTCGAGTCATTTTACATTGAGCTTACATTTTTCTCTTTCACCTTGAGTGGAGGTTTGAATGCTGGTGTTTTCACAGTTATTATAATACAGCAATCAATAGTACTTTGCATCTTTCCTTTATTAACATTTTAAGTGTTTTCTTATGATAAATTATCCTTTTTGCAAAAGAAAGGAAAACGTGTCACTTGGCTCATAATTGTTAGCTGAGGATACTTTTTTTTCTCACGACCATGAAAGAAATGCATTGGTTTTAAAAACATTCCGTAGATGCTTTCTGAGTCCAGTCTATATCAATGTACTATTTAGTCATTTTTAAATGATAATTTTGAGGTAATACTTTAATAACCTTAATTGTGATTACTCCATGGAACTTTAATCCTAGAACTTTTAGAAATCATAGTTAACTTTTAGAGTATTTTATTATATTTCTCATACCCTAACCCACCCTACATATTAGACTAGTATTTTTTTTTAATTTATTATTTATTTTTGGCTGCGCTGGGTCTTCGTTGCTTTGCATGGGCTTTCTCTAATTGTAGTGAGCATGGGCTACTCTTCATGCAGTGTTTGGACTTTTCATTGTGGTGGCTTCTCTTGTAGCGCATAGGCTGTAGATGTGTGGGCTTCAGTAGTTACAGCACTCAGGTTCAGTAGTTGTGGCTTGAGGGCTCTAGAGTGCTGGTTCAGTAGTTGGGGCACACAGGCTTAGCAGCTTCAGAGCATGTGGGATCTTCCCGGATCAGTGATTAAACCCATGTCCCCTGCATTGGGAGGTGGTTCTTATCTACTATGCCACTGGGAAAGTCCTAGACTAGTATTTTATTATTCCATATTTCAGGTAAAACATAATAATAATATTTATCAGTACTTGGTCAGTTTTCATTCCATTCCCAAAGAAGGTCAATGAATGTTCAAACTACTGCACAATTGCAAAGTAATCCTAGCAAAGTAATCCTCAAAATTCTCCAAGCTAGGCTTCAACAGTATGTGAACCGAGAACTTCAGATGTTCAAGCTGGATTTACAAAAGGCAGAGGAACCAAAGATCAAATTGCCAACATTCGTTAGATCATCAAAAAAGCAAGAGAGTTACAGAAAAACATCTGCTTCATTGACTATGCTAAAGCCTTTGACTATGTGGATCACAGTAAACTCTGGAAAATTTTTAAAGAGATGAGAATACCAGACCACCTTACCTGCCTCCTGCAAAACCTGTGTGCAGGTCAAGAAGCAACAGTTAGAACCAGACATGGAACAACAGACTGGTTCAAAATTGGGAAAGGAGAATATCAAGGTTCTATACTGTCACCCTGCTTATTTAACGTCTATGCAGAGTACATCATGTGAAATGCCAGGCTGGATGAAGCACAAGCTGGAATCAAGATTGCCAGGAGGCGAGGGTGGGATGTTTCAAGAGAACAGCATCGAAACATTATATTATCTAGGGTGAAACAGATCACCAGCCCAGGTTGGGTACATGAGACAAGTGCTCAGGCCTGGTGCACTGGGAAGACCCAGAGGGATCGGGTGGAGAGGGAGGTGGGAGGGGGGACCGGGATGGGGAATACATGTAAATCCATGGCTAATTCATTTCTATGTATGACAAAAACCACTGCAATGATGTAAAGTAATTAGCCTCCAACTAATAAAAATAAATGAAAAAAAAAAAAGATTGCCAGGAGGAATGTCAATAACCTCAAATATGGCAGAAAGCAAAGAGGAACTAAAGAGCCTCTTGATGAGCGAAAGAGCTGGCTTAAAACTCAACATTCAAAAAGCTAAGATCATGGCATCTGGTCCCATCTCTTTATGGCAAATAGATGGGGAAACAGTGACAGACTTAATTTCTTGGGCTCCAAAATTACTGCAGATGGTGACTGCAGCCATGAAATTAAAAGATGTTTGCTCCTTGGAAGAAAAGCTATGACCAACCTAGACAGCATATTAAAAAGCAGAGACATTATTTTCCCAGAAAGATCTGTATAGTCAAAGCTATGGTTTTTACAGTAGTCACGTATGGATGTGAGAGCTGGACAGTAAAAAAGGCTGAGCTCTGAAGAACTGATGCTTCTGAACTGTGGTGCTGAAGAAGACTCTTGTTAGTCCTTTGGATTGCCAGGAGATCAAACCAGTCAATCCTAAAGGAAATCAACCCTGAATATTCAGTGGGAGGACTGATGCTGAAACTCCAATACTTTGGCCACCTGATGCCAAGAGCCAACTCATTAGAAAAGACCGTGATGCTGGGAAAGATTGAAGGCAGGAGGAGAAGGGGACACCAGAGCACAAGATGGTTGGATGACATCACCAACTCAGTGGACATTACTTTGAGCAGGCCCCAGGAGATGATGAAAGACAGGGAAGCCTGGCATGCTGTAGTCCATGGGGATCGCAGAATCGGACGCAACTGAGCAACTGAACAGCAACAGCAAAGTGCTTACCTTTGTAGTCCTCACGATAAACCTATGATTTAATAATATCCCTGTTTTAAGAAAAACGAGGCACCAAGTGGTTAAGTAAACCTTTTTTTGAATTTGTACAACTAAGAAAAGAATAACCTTAGCAGTCTGCCCCCCAGGCTTTAACTGCTGCTCTGTGTGCCTGCAGAAGGTTTGGATACATTACTCCACAGCTAGGATGAAGACCTTCTATCTGTGCTGAATCTTGTCTCACTCTGCCTTGGGTGACTCTCTAAACTGACTCCATCAGTTGTTCTGTCTCAGCCCAGGCATGGCAGCACTATGCAGACATGTGTCCTTTCCTTAAGTGTGGGTATAAAAGACAGACTTTTGGTAGTGTGCTAGAATTCTATTTGAGCTCTTATACAATCTGATATTTTTAGTTGAATGAGTTTTCTGTCAGCTCACATTATGGTAATTAATTCTCTGGATTAGAACAGGCAAATCTGCTATCAACAGCCAAGTCCATTAAGATTATATCATTTTTTTATCTCAGTTTTCTAAGCACACAGTCTTATGTTTAAGATACCTAAGTTGTTTTACTTTTACCACTATAATTTAGTCACTAAATCTGACTACTTTTGTTTCAGGCTTTCTTCCATCTGTCTTAAAATTGTGGGTAAACATTAAAACTGATAAATTTTTAAATGTTTATTTAAAATAAACTCATTGTATGTGAATATAAATGACATTTTTATGATAATAATTATATTCCCCAATTTTTTAATGTTAGGAGAATAGTGGCATTGTTTTACATTCTTGTAAGTCTCTTTAATGTCTGACATGGCAACCAACTAGTCAGACACAACTAAGCACAAGAGTTGAATAGAAGAAAGCTGATTTTTTTCTATATGCCTCATTCAGTCTGTTGCAATTTATTGGTTTGTTTGAAGTGTATGAAGAATATCTTGTTTCATATACAAATGCAGCTGAAAAAGAGAGGAGCATTTTGGCAACCTTTCTAGATAATTGTGGATTTTTTTTTTTAATATTCCACCAAATTTGAGTTGTTTCTACCTCTAAAGAGTAGCCTCTTAAAGGTTCATTAGTTACAATAATCTGAACCAATGAACCCTTCATAGTAAAATCCATTGGTCTGTCTTACATGGAATGGATCTTCAATAGTGGTGTTGTATAGATCTTCCAGATGTTGATGCATTTTTATATACTTCATTATTTTAAAAAGTGACATTTGTAAATAGCATCACCATTCTTATCAGAAAAGTCTTAAGTTTTAGGAAGCTTTCTAGCTCATGTGTTTCAAGATACAAGTTTCCAAGATCATTTTTATTCTGTTCAGAATATTTTGTAATTTCCCTTGTGATGTTTTTCTTTGACTTATGGATTACTTAGAAGTGTAATGTTTATTTTGCAAATACTTGGGGATTTCCAGCTGTCTTTCTGTTATTCATTTCTAATTTAATTCCATTGTGTTCAGAGAACATACTTTGATGATTTCAGTCCTTTTAAATTTATTGTTTTATAGCCCAGAATATAGTCAATCTTGATAAATGTCCCACGTGCACTTGACAGTAATGTATATTCTGCTGTTTTTGTTTTATGAATGTCAATTAAGTTGATTGTTCATGTCTCCTGTA